GCTGTACTGAACATTCCTAGTCTGTACAGACTTTGTAGTGAGTAGCTGAACAAATAACATGTGGAGCACAACTGTACAGTCTTAGCTCAGGTGAGAGTAAAGCAGCATGGAAAATGTTCATTCCAAAGGCTTACCTTACATATGCACATGGACTGCTCTTCCAAACCATCGAAACGCTCTAACAATGCTACAACAGCCTGTAGATCTAAACACAAAGGAATGTCACTTTCAGTGTGAAATACACTGAAAATCCAGGGTAGTGGTCGCAGCCTAATTACAGAGGGACGGTGGGGAGCTGGCAAAGCCAGTCTACAACTTGACCAGCAAACTTCCATCGCATCAGGGGTCCTCCACAGTCAGGTTTACCAAACAATCCTCCAGCAATACTAAAAAGAGAAAATTGCTTTAAAATAATATAGCTAATAATGAAATAAATAATAAAGACTGTTACTCCCTTGCAAATACTGCTAGACACTGCATGGCATAGCAGACAACAAAGCTGTTTCCAGAAAAGACACAGATACGAAATTAAAGGCTCATTAATTAAAGGCCGAATTAACCTTTCCTGGAACACATCATGAGCTACAGCTGGTGTTCATCCCCTGCTTCCTTTCGGGAGTGGAACAAGCAGCACCGCTTCCTTAGGTCACACAGGCTGGCTCAAGGCTTCTGGAAGGCTTAAGAAAAAATGAGTTCTGTGTTGACACAGAACAAGCTTAAAGGCAGTCCCCATCGCATGGCTGTTCATTTTTCACTGCAGTTCTAAACAAGCCTTTTCAAGAAATAATAGTATTTGAATAAATTCATTCTAATGTGAATCAAGTTCAGTTTAATTAAGGAATACTTACATTCTTTTCAATAATAAAAACTGTTATGTAACATTAATCATAATAGTTCTGTAGAGCCAACTCCTTTTTTTTAGGGAGAGAACAGCACTGACAATTTCAGGTAACTAAACCCCGAAACTTAGATTAGACTTGACTTTTCCTGTCTCCTCCCCTACTGCTGTTCTGGGCTTGGCTTGTGTTTTGATGTAATCTGCAATAAAAATTTTAGAAAGATGGGTATAAAAGGGCTGCTGCCAAGTGAAATCACAGAAGGASTACAGTCTGCAATGGGAGGGATTATTGCTGCAGGACAGGGGCCCAGGCTGCTTTCTCAGGTGCTCATCTCCAAGGTGTGCAGCTTTTGTACTTCAGCATCTGCTCTGTCCCTCGTTACCACAAGTTCCTTGAGGAACCTTGGCTCACTGGCTTTTTGTGCTTGTCTATCGGAACTGTCCTCTTATCCATTCTCTGGAGTGGAAAGCTTATCTTCCAGATCCCTAGGCTTCATAAATTCATCTGCTGCTTCTCCAGAGCCACCTCTTTTAGTTTTCTTCTCTGTTATTTCAAAGAGCTCATGAGAATCGAGGTGTTCCAGGAGGGCCTTTTTTCACTCTCAGCACTAAGTGGCAGCCTTTCTGGTTACAGGGCTCCCAAATTCTTGTGTGCAGTGGGAAGTGGCACATGGTTTTAGTAACACCCTTCCTCATTGACACTGAAGGGTTTTAATTTATGTCATGAGGACTAGGAAGGGAACCATTTTGAAAAAAAGTTATGGACATGTAAGTCTTAGCTATACATTCACAATTTGAGAAAGGAAAGCAGGGTAGATGAGCTTGGAAAACCAACAAGCAAACAGAAGGAATAATAAAAGAAAAYATGTTCTACTTAATCTTTGGCAGACTGATTTTACCAAGGTAACTGTGGATCGTCCTACACTGTGTAAGAAAGCCACAGCCTACTTGCAGGTGGGAGATGTGAGCAGTTGCTCTTTTCTAGATCTCTGAGGAACTTCCAGAAAACCCTTGTCAGATCACCCTTAATGTTACATTGATGTTCTTCCGCATTTACAGCAACTTGTCATTAAGTAACACTGTACGATAGACATAGTGAATAAGCAGTTTGTGTGGTGAACAAATAATCCAACACCAGACACAACAGRCAATCCAGTTAAGGGCACAAATACTAAGTTAGTCTGTCCTTCCTTGCTATTTGACTACCACATTAGGTCTGTCAATATATGTCAACACAACTCTACATACAAATACTAATAAAACAATAAATAATATTTGTCCAGATGAAAAAAAAAAAAGCGCCAAACAAAAAAAAACCCACCAAAAAACCCAAACCAAAACAAAACCACAGAAAGCAACTACACCCAGTTCCAAGGCTGTCCTGACAAGGAAAGGGAAGACTTAACTATCCGGGAGATAAATCTGTTTGAAGTGCTTATCCCATCCCAGACCCTCCAAAAAATCTGGCTTTGAGACCTGAGTTGTGCTGCCTCTCAATCCCTCTGGAAGCCTGGGAAGATGTGGGACACCACCATGTCCTGCCAGGTTACCTTCCCCAGCAGAAGGGGCAGCCTGGACAAGTAAGTCTAGCTAACTATAGAATTAAAATCAATGAATAAATAAATGCATCAATGTAGACACACAGAGTCACAGATGATACTGCAGGCCCAGGCTATGAGCAACTCACTGATGGCCAAGCCATCGGAATTTTAGGAGTAACAAAGAACAAGTATGCAACATATGTAAAACATTCCATAAATAGCAAATTGGGACATAATGAAGAACAAGGAATCAAGGAAGAGCAAGGTCTAGTTTTTACAAACAGGCATCCCCAAGACCAAGGGATAAACCATGAATATTACACTCCTCCCTGTGACAAATCACTGCAAGCCCTCCCCATCTGTGACTTCAGCCACTGACCCTGGGACTCAAAGGGAYATTGGAAGGTCAGGCATTATAAAGTTCACATCTCTGAACTACACATTATTTGAGTATAACCATTAGCATTGTTGTAACTGGACAATCAATATCTGATTGGATTGCTAGAATCTTGGGTGTGAGTTCTTTTTGCTGGTCCAAGAGTCAAATAAAAGTGAAACAACCTGCTTTAACTTGGGCACAACTGAATGGCAAGAGATGACATCCTAATTTTGTTGCCATCCTGAAATCCTCCCACTACTTGAAACAGCCATGGCAGTTCCCCAAATGGTAGGTTCTGGTTCTTCAGTAGAACCAGGGAAAGCAGAAGTGAAGGGATGTCAGGAAAAGAAACCCTATGCAAATTTAAAACTATTGATCAACCACACCACCTCAACAAACTGAACCTGGCTCAGAGTCAGCATCTACAAAGAGACACAGAAGAGCTGTGGTATCTTATAAAATGCATCACGGCATCTTTTAAGCAAGTATCTATGTTGGCATTTGAAGTTGGAAAATGTGTGCTTTGCAAGGTCCCAGGGCTTCCTACTTCAGATGCTTTGATGCAGGCCAGGACAAATTCTAACCACATTTTGTGTGCTAACTCAGTGGCATGACTGAAAGCTGTTTGCACTAAAAACATACAAGCCAGAAGGCTGAGCACACTTTTCACTTYGCTAGCCTGTATGTGGTCAGAAGGAATTTTATGCTCCATCCTGAGAAGTGCCCCAAGGCTGAAAGTAAAACTAGGCTTTGCTTGGTGGGGATGAAGGAAGAAGAAAGCTTATTGTGGAGAGCACAATCTAAACAATCCCAGGCTGGTGCCCTGGCATCCAACGCAGAGCGGGTTTTTTGCTTTCTGCTCTCCTTGAGGGCAGGTCAGGAGCAATCCTTTCCAATGCAGGCAGAGTAATTGTGTGGGCTCRGTGCAGAGCTAGTCTGCACCATGCAGGGGTGAGCATTATGAGGATTAGCACAGGGCTGCTTTCCTTAAGCCTGCCATGAACTTTCCACCATCTTGCTGAAGGCTTGCTACCAACACCATTTTTAAAATTATCCTACTTGTATTTATATACAAACAGCAAGCATTTTACTCCCATTTTTGAAGACCTCCAACATCCATTCACATTGTAATCCACCATTACATGCTCTGGTGACATCCTTGGTCCCACCTGGATCTCCCAGGTACTTGTGGCGAGTTATGGCCTTGTGGCGAGTTATTCCCTAGGCAGCCAGCACTATATGTACACGCACACTGTAAGGCTGAATTTTGGAAAGCCCTCAATGAARCAACAACATTCTCACAACCAGCCCAAGAATTACAGGCGACATAACTGGATTAACTCCACACGAGCACAGCTGCAGGCAGCACACAACTGGGGTCACTGCACACGCGCTCCACAGCAACAGCACTTCT